CAAATAACTTGCCCAGGTCACACAGCTGGTGAGTTGGAGTCAGAATTTGAACTCAGCAGTCTCGGCCCACAGCCCATATTCTGAGACATGGTTGTGATGCTAATTCTATGCACGATTTGAGTAGGCATCTGATAAAGTTCCAGCTTGCTAAGAGTCCTTGTTATTCAAGTAGTAAGGGAGCTGGAAAAGTAGAAGGAAGCCTGCTTGAGAGACCTTTTTTTGGTCCTGGCTGTACTGTTCATTAACTGAATAGCCTTAGGTCGGTTCCCTCTTCCCCTTATGTAAAATGGCTATAATAATAGATTCCTTTCCCATTTCACAGAGCAGTTATGAGCATGAACGAGAAAAATGTGTTAAATACTTTATCAGTTGAAAAGGTCAATATTTGGCAGGGCGCGGTGGCTCATGCCTGTAATCCAAGCACTTTGGGAGGCCGAGACGGGTGGATCATGAGGTCAGGAGATCGAGATCATCCTGGCTAACTTGGTGAAACCCTGTCTCTACTAAAAACACAAAAAATTAGCCAGGTGTGGTGGCAGGCGCCTGTAGTCCCAGCTTCTTGGGAGGCTGAGGCAGGAGAATGGTGTGAACCCAGGATGTGGAGCTTGCAGTGAGCCGAGATCAAGCCACTGCACTCCAGCCTGGGCGACAGAGTAAGACTCTGTCTCAAAAAAAAGGTCAATATTTCTATAGTTTGATTCAGCATTTACAACCTGAGTATTTCTAAAGTTTTAAAATATTTTATGGTTTAAAATATACAATAGGCCAGTCATGGTGGCTCACGCCTGTAATCCCAGCACTTTGGGAGGCAGAGGCGGGCGGATCACCTGAGATCAGGAGTTTGAGACCAGCCTGACCAACATGGAGAAACCCCGTCTCTACTACAAATACAAAATTAGCCGGGTGTGGTGGTGCATGCCTGTAATCCCAGCTACTCGGGAGGCTGAGGCAGGAGAATCTCTTGAACCCAAGAGGTGGATGGAGGTTGCCGAGATTGTGCCATTGCACTCCAGCCTGGGCAACAAGAGTAAAACTCTGTCTCAAAAAAAAAAAAAAAAAAATCCAGTAAAGCTATTGTTATCAAGTGAAACAGGAGGATATTGTAGGAAGGGCAAGGGAAGCAACTATACCAAAAACTTAGGGGAGAATTTCCCAAACTGTAATCTGCAAAATACTATTTATGTATTAAATGATTTCATTTGGGAAAGACTGGCCTAAACACAGTTTATATACTATAGACTTTCTTGGAGTCTTATATATTAATCTAAGAAGAAGCTTAAAGATATGTTTTTTCTCTAACTTATTTGGCCACAGAATCATTTTTAATTTTAATTTTTATTTATTTGTGGGGAAGGGAAGAATCCTTTTTTAAAAAATGAAACATTTGCTGGCCGGGTGTGGTGGTTCATGCCTGTAATCCCAGAACTTTGGGAGGCCAAGGTAGGTGGATCATTTGAGAGCAGGAGTTCAAGACCAGCCTGGCCAACATGGTGAAGTCCTATCTTTACAAAAAATTCAAAAATTAGTGGGGCGTGGTGTCATGCATCTGTAGTCCCTGTTCCTCAGGAGGCTGAGGTGGGAGGATAGCTTGAGCCCAGGAAGTCAAGGCTGCTGTGAGCTCTGATAGTGCCACTGCACTCCAGCCTGGGTGACAGAGTGAGACCCTGTCTCTAAAATAAAATAAAATTAAACATTTGCTAACTTGGAACCAGAGAACAATTTGAGAAATACTGGTCTAAACTGAAATTCCCTTCCTAGAACATAATAACAAGAACCACAACAATAATGTCTTTCTAGAACTTTATGGCTACAAAGTGTGTTCACATCCATTACCTGGTTTAACAGTTTAGGAAATGCGCATTTAAGCAAACACAGTTACTATGAATGAAAGTTTAATTTAGTATTATTATTTTATTTATTTTTAAATATTTATTTTAGAGGTGGGGGTCTCACTGTGTCATACAGGCTGGAGTGTAGTGGTGATATCATAGCTCACTGCAGCCTCAAACTCCTGGGCTCAAAGGATCTTCTCATGTCAGCCTCCTAACTACAGGCGAGCACCCATGCTTAGCTACTATTTTTATTTTTTTGTAGAGACAGTATCTTACTGTGTTGCCCAAGGTGGTGGTGAACTCCAGGGCTCAAGAGATCCTCTCACCTCAGCCTCCCAAAGTGCTGGGATTACAGGCATGAGCCACCATGTTCAGCCTAATTTAGTATTCTGAGCTTCCTGGCAGTCAAGGCAAAAACAAACAAAGAAAAGGAACCAGTAACCTAACAAAGACAAGGTGGAAATAAATTTTTTTTTTTTTTTTTTTTTTTTTTTGAGACAGAGTCTCACTCTGTCACCCAGGCTAGAATGCAGTGGGGTGATCATAGCTCACTGCAGCTTAGATTTCTTGGGCTCCAGCAATCCTCCCACCTAAGCCTCCCAAGTAGCTGGGACCCCAGGCTTGCACCACCATGCCTAGCTAATTTTTTTTTTTTTTTTTTTTTTTTGGTGGAGATGGGGTTTTGCCATGTTGTCCAGGCTGGTCTCGAACTCCTGAGCTCAAGTGATCATGATCCACCTGCCTAAGCCTCCCAAAGTGCTGGGATTACAGGTGTGAGCCACCATATCTGGCCCCAAGATTTTTTTTTTTTGGCGGTGTGTCTGTCACCCAGGCTGGACTGCAATGGTGCCATCTTGGCTCACTGCAACCTCCGCCTCCTGGATTCAAGCAATTCTCCTGTCTCAGCCTCCTGAGTAGCTGGGATTACAGGCACGTGCCACCACACCTGGCTAGTTTTTGTATTTTTAGTAGAGATGGGGTTTCACCATGTTGGCCAGGCTGGTCTCGAACTCCTGACCTCAGGTGATCCACTCACCTTGGCCTCCCAAAGTGCTGGGATTACAGGCGTGAGCCACTGTGCCCGGCCCCCCAAAATTTTTTTAATTAAAAAAAAAAAATCTAAGAAAAAGAAAAAAAGGAATCAGATGTGTTTTAAGAGTCTCAATGATGGTAACTTCATTCTAAAGGAAATGGAATGTGAGTGTCATTATTTAGCCCGTTGCTTTGGGAGAATAGGAGTAGGAAAGAAGGTGACATAGCCTTAAATTCTGTTGTCCTGAAATGTGTGTATGGAGCATGGCCTGGTCCTCAAAGGACAGAAAGTGGCCCCAGAGAGGTTGGGAGAAAGGACGTAATAGCACTCAGGGAGGGCATGAGCAGAAAAATAGCTGGAAAACTTCGGCAGCTATGAGCAGCACAGTACGGACATTGGTCCATCTTACATCTGCACTGGGGTAAGATGAGAGCTCAGTACGAAATCAACGATAAGGCTCCCATGATCCCCTCAGGCCCACAGCTTCACAGGCTGACTGAGACCTGTTATGGATGATTAGAGCTAGAAGGGCCTTTAGGGAACCTCTGATCTGAACTGCCCATTTTGTAGATGGGAAAACTGAGGCCCCATTAGGAAAGAAGCCTGGGACTGACTTGCCCTCCTGCCTTCAGGAAATGATGTACATCTGGAATGGCTACGCTGTGATTGGGAAGCAGCCGACACTCACAGATGGGATGCTTGAGATCATCACCAAGGCGGAAGAGATGCTGGAGAAAGGCCCAGGTGACTTCCCTCAGGCCCTTGAGGCTGCCAGGCTAGGTCAGGTCTTTACAGCTGAAGGTTCCCTTTGCCAAAAATGTCCTTCCCCCGTTCCCTACCCTGGCAATTCTCCTTTCCCTCTCTAGACTGAGCTCCTCCAAGCAGCTGTTCCTTGTCCCCTTGGTAGGGTCAAAGCCTCTGGGCTCCCACAGCCATGGGGCTTCCTTCAGTCCTGACCTCACTGTATTGTCATTGTCTCAGTATTTGCCTTTCCTTCTTAGATGTGACCCCCCCTGAGGACAGGGACCATGTCTGATTTACCTGTGTCCCTTTGACCTAGCACAGAGTAGGGGGCTCTATAAGTAACTGCTGCAGAAATGAACAAGTCTGTCTTTTTCCTTCACATCCCTATTTTCAGAGAACGAGTACTCAGTGGATGACGAGTGCTTGGTGAAATTGTTGAAAGGCCTGTGTCTGAAATACCTGGGCCGTGCCCGGGAGGCCGAGGAGAATTTTAGGAGCATCTCTGCCAAGTAAGTGCCTCTGCAGCTGCTCCTGCTGGGTCTGAGTCTCCTGGGTAGAATATTCAGGGCTTCTCCATCCTCATGCCCACTGCAGTGGCTGACCCTAGCCAACCCCCGCTCACCACACAGGTACTAAACTAGTGTCCACTCTTGCCAGGACTTGTGCTGGGACCTATACAGATAATTCAGACCTAGCCTCCCAGTGCCACCAAATTGCGTGACTACAGGAGCACATCCATGTTGTTTCGAGTGAACAGTGTGCCCTGGAGTTTGTAATTCAGCAACTCTGTCCTTGCCCTCGGGGAGGGCAATATGACAGATGGCAAGCTGTAGGCAGCCCAACCAAGGCTCATCAGGACCATGCTAGAGGAAAGCAGAGAGGACAGCAGGTGCCCGAGGAGGGACCTGAACTTCATGGGAGGTACTAGGAAAGGCTTTCCAAGGCTGACGTTGAAAGTGGGAAGTTCATCAGGCGGAGAAAGCAAGGGAGGACAGGTTTGAGGTGGAGTAGGGACAGCATGCACCAGTGCATGGAGACAGGAAAGACACCTGAGGTGGGGTGATGGCGATGGGGTCTTTGCCTGCCTGGGTGAAGTCATAGAGAGAAAAGATTGAAGATGAAATAAGGAGGGATAGAATGAGAAGGGCCTGGATGTTTTGTTCACAAGGCTAAATTGTATTCCAAAGAAGAGAGCCAGAAAGGGTACCGGGCAAGGAAGATATCTCCAGGGCAGCATGGAGGTCGGGTCAGAGGGGACAGGTCAGAGACAGGAGACTTTACAGTTCAATAAATCATTCAACCTGGAGAAAGGGAGGTTGGGCCTTAGGTGGCGGTGGATTAAGGACATGACAGGAGCCATAAGTTGTCAGGGAGCTGGAGCCCAAGGTTACACACAGGATGGGAAGGCTTTGCTGTGGATCCCAGCCTTTCTATGGCTTGGTAGTGGGAACCTCCCAAAATTGCAGTTCAGGTTAGGAAATCCTCACGTGCAGTTTAGGAAAGGCTCAGGAGGAGGAACCTGAGCCATGTCTTCTGTTCTGCAGTGAAAAGAAGATTAAATATGACCACTACTTGATCCCAAACGCCCTGCTGGAGCTGGCCCTGCTGTTTATGGAGCAAGGCAGAAATGAAGAGGCCATCAAACTCTTGGAATCTGCCAAGTAAGCCTTGTGTAACCTCAATCTGTCCTTTGCTCCCTCTGAACTCAGCTCAGGAGCTGGCTGGGGACAGAGTTGCCCAGACAGCAGTGAGTGGAGTTGCTAGCAAGGCCAGTCTGGCAGTCTAGAGGGCGGACCTGTGTCCCTCGGAATCCAGCTGTCACCTGTCATAGGAAGACTTCTTTCTTAATGTATGAATGGGCAGTTAGACCCCCAGAGGCAGGAAGTAAGTTCCCAAGGTCACATCAGAAGCCAGCTGCACGGCTGTGTGAGGACCCATGACTCCTGCCTTCCAGGCTAGAGGTCTATTCCCTACAACCACCCCTTCAAGCTTAGGAACCCAGGAGGACCAGGAGTGGTTCCAGTGGGCATGATACCAGGGGTGAGGGGCCACAAACCCTCCTGGTTAACTCTCCCACTGGGCAGGGCTCAACGCTCTCGGGACCCAGGAATTTCTCTACAGTCCTTCCTTGGCTGGCGGGGCTCACACAGCTCCAACAGGAGGAAAAGCATCTCTGGGAGCAAGCAGGCTCATGTGTCTGATTCTCTGCTCAATTCCAGGCAAAACTACAAGAATTACTCCATGGAGTCAAGGACACACTTTCGAATCCAGGCAGCCACACTCCAAGCCAAGTCTTCCCTAGAGAACAGCAGCAGATCCATGGTCTCATCAGTGTCCTTGTAGCTTTGTGCAGCAGTTCTGGGCTGGAAGACAAACAGACAGCTGGACAGAGCTCCTGGAAACATTTCAAAAGATCCCCTCCCCCTGCCCTGCCCTGCCTTTGGGGTCCACCGGCGCTCCAGTTGGATGGCACGACATGGGTATCTGTGCAGAAGCCAAGCTTTTCACCAGTGTGGCCAAGGGCCTTTGCCAAGGGCAGAGCAGGTGGAGCCCTCTGCCTGCCTATCACACATACGGGTACTTGCTTTTCACTGTGATGTTTAAGAGAATGTATGAACAGTTTACATTTTCCTTAGAAATACATTGATGGGATCACAGTTGGCTTTAAAAACCAACAACCACCAACCACCTGTAAGTCTTTGTCTTCACCTATTATCATCTGGAGGTAAATCTCTTTATATGATGATGCCAAAGGGCAAATTGCTTTTCAAATTCAGCAAGTTCTCAACTTGTGTGACTGAAGGGCCTTCAGAGGACCTGAGGAGTGCCTGGGAGAGGCTGAGCCTCAGGCTTCAATGCTTCTGGGGTTGGGCACGAGGATGCACACAGACATCCACTACCTTACTACTCACACTTCATTTCACTCCTTTTGTAAATTTCCAATTTAAAAATCAAGCACGTCTTTTTAGTGAGATAAAATCTGAGCTCTTGTGTAGAAAAATCCATCTCCACCAGTAGGAAATGCCATGGCTTGATGGAAGAGCCGTGTGGCCCTTTCTATGCGAAAGCCAGGAATTTTGGGGGGCAGGAGGAGGTTCTCAGAATCAAGTCTGTATCTTTGCTGTATGCCAAACTGAAACCACTGGGAATAATTTATGAAAGATAAAAATCTTCTGTACTTCACTCCAAGGTACATTTACTTACTGATAGCATTTTTCTTAGAACTGTTATTCTTGACCTGTTGTGTATGTGTTAGATTCTTCAGTTAAGCGACAAGAGACATTTAAGTGATAAAATTTATGCCCTTAAGGGATCGTGCATCATATATTTCAATAAAATATGTGTTGCATGCATCCTTAGGCCGGGCAGAAAGTCTTAATCAGAAGCCACACGGCCTATGTATGTTTTATTTAGACTACACAATGTTTTAAACTTTTTGAATAAGTTACCAGCATTCACAAATGGGGAGATTTCACAAATGAATCTGGTTCCTGGCCTGTAATTAAAAAAAAAAAAAAAAAAGATCTGGCAACATTGAGCCGCATTCCCATGAGGCAACAATCAGCTAGAGCTAAGTCGCGGCTACTTTAAACACTTCTGTTACCTTTCTGGCCCCTAAAAGCATCTGAATTTGCAACCTCTGGGATTGTTAAAGTGAGAACTCAGGTTCAATGACCAACACCAGGTTTTACCCTTCACTTTCTAATGTCAGCACACTTCAACCTAACCATTTCCCTGTAGGGAAAATCATGTACCCAGTAAAAATATTCATCTGTGAAAACGTTACTCCCCAAATGCATGAATGCAATTTCTATAAGAGAAAAACCAGTTAAACTTTCCAATCTTCCAGCATTGCTGTATTTAGCAAACACAGTATCTGCCAAGGGGCTGGGTTAATATATAAAGATTCAGTTGGTCGGTCACGATGGCTCACTCCTGTAATCCCAGCACTTTGGGAGGCCGAGGTGGGTAGATCACGATGTCAGGAGATCGAAACCATCCTGGCCAATATGGTGAAACCCTGTCTCTACTAAAAATTACAAAAAAAATCAGCTGGGCGTGGTGGCACATGCCTGTAGTCACAGCTACTTGGGAGGCTGAGGCAGGAGAATCGCTTGAACCCGGTAGGGAGAGGTTGCAGTGAGCCAAGATCACGTCACTGCACTCCAGCCTGGCAACAGAGGGAGAATCCATCATATATATATATAGTTTTGTTAGAATGAAACAAAATAATATCCTCCATAGAGAGTAATCCCTTTGCAAGCTATCTCTTCTCCAAAGCCTGGATGCTGGGAGACCAACCTGTTTCTAGGCTCCTGGACAGGACAGGGTAGGGTGGTAGAGACAGGCTGCAGGAGGACAGGCCTCCATGGCTTCCCCACATGTTGGAATGCTGCCTGGTGCTGTATCAAAGCAGCACTACTCACAGGACACCAAACATATACTTTGGAAAATTGCAGTTTACAAAAAAAAACTTTATCTCAACGTTAATTTCAGGTGCGTTTTTTGTTTTGTTTTGTTTTTTTTTGAGACAGAGTCTCACTATGTCACCAGGCTGGAGTGCAGTGGCACGATCTCAGCTCACTGCAACCTCTGCCTCCCAGGTTCAAGCAGTTCTCCTGCCTCAGCCTCCTGCGTAGCTGGGAGTACAGGCACATGCCACCATGCCCAGCTAATTTTTGTATTTTTAGTAGAGATGGGGTTTCACCATGTTGGCCAGGATGGTCTTGATCTCCTGACCTCGTGATCCACCTGCCTCGGCCTCCCAAAGTGCTGGGATTATACAGGCGTGAGCTGCCGCGCCCCGCCACAGGTACTTTCATTTCAAAATTTTGTCAAGATGATTTCCTTGTCAACATTTGCTGTTGATTTCCTGCTGGGCTTCATTAATTAACCCTATTTCACTTTTACCCTGCTGCCCTGATAAGATAAATCAGTGGGTTTTGCCTCCTATATCCCACCTGCAAATTCTGAGATAATCTATCCGAAAAAAAAAAAAAAAATATATATATATATATATATGTGAAGGACAATGAAAACACTGGGTTTCTAACATCACCATATCCTTCTTATGCAAGGGCCTTAGAAAGTGAAAATTCTGTCATAGGCTCTCAGTGAGTCATCTGTGGTCACTGCTTCTCTAATAGTGCAGACCTTCTCAGCACATCTGCCGTGGAAAGGCCGCAGATCAGGTGGAAGGTTTGAGCCTGGAAATAAGGAGATCTGAATTCCAGTCCTGACTTTGCTACTGATTTTCAGCGTAACCTTGGGCAAGTCACAGATACTCTAAAAATGAGCAATTTGGACAAGATTAAGGCTCTTTCCTGCCTTCTACAGTTTATGTTGCAAAATGAGGCAACAGATACACTTCCCTATCTTTCTGCTAAAGCCTTGCGTCCCTAAGCAATTCAACCTGAAATAATAGACTTCCTGAGGGGCTGTACAGTAGCCAGAACACCCAGAGAGCAAGTAATCCTCATTTAGAGAAAGTCTAAATCCTGTGCCCCACAGATGAATTCAGTTGTTAGGGAAGTAGCAACCATGTAACGTGATCTACACAGGTCCTTGGCAACAGAAAGTCTACCTCAGCCTCTCTCTGGTCACAGGCAGAGTGGCTTCTAGCAGTGTGCTGGGCCCTCAGCTCTCCCATGGGTGGGCAGGTTGCCCTATTATCTCTTGAGCCAGAATGGGAGTGTTTCCAAGACAGTTATCATCATTCACAGCAGAGAACCACAACCTGACATCAAAGCCAGGATCCTAAAAGGCCAACACCAACTCAAGATTTGGCTGAGGTCCAGGTGGGAGAGTCCCAAGTGAAGAACGGCATCAAGAGGTTTTAAGAAAGCTCCAGTGCACTGAGTACTAGAACCATTCAAGGGAATCATCCAGACCCTTTCCTCTGGAGTTACTCCCAAGTTCATTTCTTCTAAGATGGTGGGAGTCGATAGTCTTTTCCTTGTTTACTTCAAATTTAAAGCCTAACAGTGCCTTCTCAACATCCTTAGCATCATCACATTAATTCAGTCATACATGAGAGGTGTCTGGATTCTGAAATCCAAGCAGCAAATGGGAACTTCTCACGCCCACCCTCAGATGCAGCCTTCCAAGGTCAGAAAGTGCCTTCTGCTCGGGTTAGCATGGCTCGTTTGAATTCCAGTGCAAAGTTCATTACTGATCAATAGGCTAGGTCCACAAACAACCTCATTTTGGGGCTCGAAAAATCCATTTCTAAATGAGTAATCTATGACTGCTTCCACTGTATAAAGTCAACTGTTAAGTGACAAAATAAGAATAGAGGCCGGGCGCGGTGGCTCAAGCCTGTAATCCCAGCACTTTGGGAGGCCGAGACGGGCGGATCACGAGGTCAGGAGATCGAGACCATCCTGGCTAACACAGTGAAACCCCGTCTCTACTAAAAATACAAAAACTTAGCCAGGCGAGGTGGTGGGCGCCTGTAGTCCCAGCTACTCGGGAGGCTGAGGCAGGAGAATGGCGTGAACCCGGGAGGCGGAGCTTGCAGTGAGCTGAGATCCGGCCACTGCACTCCAGCCTGGGTGACAGAGCGAGACTCCGTCTCAAAAAAAAAAAAAAAAAAAAAGAATGGAGCTCTTTGGGAAGACAGAATTAACTATTGAAGGTCTCTATGGACTGTTAAAAGTTGATGTTTGGCTGGGCACAGTGGCTCACATCTGTAATCCCAGCACTTTGAGAGGCTGAGGCAGGTGTATCAAAAGGTCAGGAGATTGAGACCATCCTGGCCAACATGGTGAAACTCCATCTCTACTAAAAATACAAAAATTAGCCGGGCGTGGTGGTGGGCACCTGTAGTCCCTGCTACTCAGGAGGCTGAGGCGGGAGAATTGCCTGAACCCAGGAGGTGGAGGTTGCAGTCGAGATCGTGCCTCTGCACGCCAGCCTGGTGACAGAGCAAGACTCTGTCTCAAAAAAAAAAAAAAAAAAAAAAAAAGTGGATGTTTAAGTTTAATCAGAGATATCACAGCTAATGTCTCACAAATGACTAGATCAGGTTTGTTTTTCTTCCTCCACATTAACAAACACTTCAGAACATCAGACACCATATGCTCTGGGGAAAATAATAAAAGCTAATATTTATTAAATACTCATTATGTGCCAGTTGCTATTCTAAGTACTTTACATTTATGTAATCCTCATAATATTTATGTAATCCTTTGGAGTGGGGCCATTGTCATTTTGCAGATGGCAAAACTGAGGCACGGGTAAATAAGTTGCCTCAGATCACACGATTATGCAGCAGAAAGATTTGAAGACAGGCTGCTGAACTCTAAAGCCCGTACTTTGCTACACTGTTGGTCAAGCTGTAAAATCCTGTGTAAAGTTAGACCCAGCTTACACTGACTCATGGGCCACTGTGAAAATGGAAGAACTACTGGCTAATAGCTCAGCCGTTGGCGATGCTCGGCTGCAAACACATGGAGCATGTCTGTGTGACATGGTTCCTTTTGGCACTTGGCATCATGAAGTAGGGAGAGGGCCTAACTTGGAAAAAGCCAAAAGAAAAGCAATCCTTAAACAACAGTATCTGCTCAGAAAATCATCGAGGGATGATGGAGGAAAAGGCATGATCCAGTCCCCACTTGGATAGGTAGAGTTCCAGTCAACTACTCCACAGATGGGAAGTGAAGCCTGCACTGAGGCTTGATGCACAGCAAGTCACGTGCTAGAAGGAGCGTGGTATAAGACAATAAGAAAGAGGACCACTGGCAAACTGGGAAGCATGTGATGCCAAAGGCACTAAAAACTGTTTTATAGTTTAAGCACTTAGGAGTGCTTGGCTAAGCACATCGCATTTGTGGGTCAAAGTGACCCATGGGCCACAGCTTTGTCCTCCTGGTACTGAGATGACTTCCTACAGTTCTCTAGAAAAGAGGTTGTGAGCAAATTCACAGTATGAGAAAGCCCGGTTTACTAAAAATATCCAGCTTTTTTTTTTTTTTGAGACGGAGTTTCGCTCTTGTTGCCCAGGCTGGAGTGCAATGGAATGATCTCGGCTCACCGCAACCTCTGCCTCCAGGGTTCAGGTGATGTTCCTGCCTCAGCCTCCCGAGTAGATGGGATTACAGGCATGTGCCACCATCCCTGGCTACTTCTGTATTTTTAGCAGAGATGGGGTTTCTCCATGTTGGTCAGGCTGATCTCAAACTCCCGACCTCAGGTGATCTTCCCATCTTGGCCTCTCAAAGTGCTGGGATTACAGG